TAACCTTCTGTTCCTTCACACCTCCCAGAGAGTATAGGGCAAAAACCTTGCAGAATATTCCACGGGGTCAGATTTAGAACCTTGAACTGTCTTAAAGTGACAGAACTCCCAGGAACAGAAGTACAAATCCATAAAAAACTGGGAACTGGGGGCCCTCCCTGGTGACACAGCGGTTAAAGCACTGGACTGTGCAGCTATCACAGCCACTGGAGCATGAGTTCAATCCCCAGCCAGGGAGGTGACCCACATGGTGCAGCAGACCTCTGCTGACCCACCCACTGCTCCCCTCAGCATCGCATTTCAGTCCATCTGCCTGTTCTGCTCCCCACTCTGTCTCTGGTGAATCCTCTCACCACCCCCATCTCTGGTCTGTACCCCAGTTCTGTAGGGATAAGTAAATAGATTAAAAAAAAAAACTGGGAACTAGACATGACTCATAAGTAAATAATAAGAAACAAGTGGGATCGATGGACATTCTCTTTGGCATCCTGCTGAGATGGAAAAGAGCATTTGACAATTCTGTGAGCATGTGGGTCCCTGTCCCCACATCTGATCGATGCGGGGGTCGAGCAACAGCACCTACTTCATTCCAAAGTCAGCAAACAAGTGCCCCGGGATGGGGAATTCTCTCCACGGGAGACTAGCCATCCAGGGCCAGCATCAGCCAGGGCTTTGCTGACTGCAGAGGCTTCTGACCCATCCTCTGTGGGCAAACTGACAGCTCCAGTTCTGTGGCACCCTCAGTCCTGGACACCCCAGGTGTGATAGATACATCACACCTGGGGTGTATGGGTGTGGCTTTGCAATGCAATAAGCCAGACCAAGCAGAGAGGGAAGAAAGGGCTGCTGAACTAAAAAGCAAGAAAGAAAGGCATTATGGGGTCTCTTGCGGCCCACTTCCTACAATGGGGAGCCACACCATGGTCTCAAGGAGATTCTAGAAAATAGAAGTACCAGGGGAAACTGTGCAATGCAGAGACAGTGTCCATCAGCAGCATGGAGACATGGCTGAGCCACCTCAGAACCTCATGCAAGAGGCCTGAATGTGACTAAAGTGTCTCAGGCCTCTTCTGCCCTTTCATTTTCTCCTCAGGACACAGATCACAGGAACTCCTTTAGCAGGAGTTTCCACATTTTTTTTTCTTTTCACTTTTGGTGATGCCTAAAGATATATCTCTAATGTGGAAACAGGTGAGAAAAGTATTTAGGGTCTTCCTCAAAACACAAATAGATGCTACATAAATCCAGCCTGGAGAGGATGTTAATGCACAGCACAAGGAAATCTACTGCTTGCTGGGCTGTTTACCTGCCCATTTTCAATAGGAGAAACTCTGTGCCAAAGAATCCTGTAACAGCTGAAGAGAGAAAAGGGTATACAGAACTGCGAGGAGCAGCTCCTGTGAGGTCAGCGGAGCTCCTGGGACGTGCGGATGTTCGGGGGTCATAAGGTAGATCGTGGTAAATGCCTGTAAAATGCCCAGGAAGAGATGGAGCAGCTGTTCTTAAATGCCATCAAAGACTCTCAAGCAGAAGAGGGGAAGAAGCAAGAAAGGAGAAAGGACACTAGCATTTAATGAGCATTTCCTATGTTGGGAGCTTTACATGCAATGGGCATATAGTGTGCACTAGGAATCACCAGGCCTGAGCTCCAAAGTAGGGGTGGAAGTCCACCTGCACCAGGCAATGTTTTCTGCCTCAGAGAAAGTGAAAACACTGGCTCCAGGGTCTAACCAGTGGTATGGCCTTATCAACACAGCCACCAGTTAGACTTACATGCCCGGAGCTAACCATAGCTCCAGTTGCTGGCAATGTTAAAGGACAGGGGGTGTCATTTACTCTCTAGCAAAGACATTGCCTAGAATTAGAAAGAATTCCAGTTTGATGTTTTTCTTGGTTTAGCCAGTTACTTCATTCTTGGAACTCTTTTCCATTGTTTGTTTTTTTTTTTTTTTTTAAGATTTTTATTTATTTATGCATACAAAACTGGGGTACAAGCCAGAGGGGCAGGGGCGGTGAGAGGATCCACCAGAGACAGTAGGGAGAACAGACAGATGGAAGTACACTGCTGACAGGAGCAGCGGGCAGGGCAAGGGAGGGCTGCTGCGCCATATGGGTCATCTCCGGTGACAGGAATCGAACTCGCACTGAAGCAGCTGTGGCTAGCTTGCAGTACTGCATCCTTACCAGTTGAACCACCAGGGAGGGCCCAGTTCTCCACTGTTTATGGGGGATAATAAAGCCTTTCTAATTCAATAGTTGTAATTACACAGCTGCAAAGATGAACTAAATGTAGGCACAGAAGCTAAAATATGGCAGGTGTTTAATATACACTCCTCACTTTGCAGCTGAAGGCTTCTCTACCATAGAGAAATGCATCACAAAGCTCCCTGGCACTCTGTCTAAAAGGCAAATTAGAGCAAGTTATTTTGTTTGTGATGTAATTATTATTGTTTTTGGTTGTAGTTTACAAAGAATTTTTCATGGATTTTCTTTTCCCTTACTCTTAAGCCTTATCAATCACCACTCATAGCATTCTTACCATGGTGTGAATGAATGTGAGGAGCAGTTTGGTGGAGGGAGGAGGGGACAGGTGAGGAGGGAGGTAAGGAGGAGGCACCAGAATTATACAGGGTCTGGGGAGAAAATCAACTTCATAAATTTGAAGGACAGGTAAGTCTTGCAAATCCTCTCCATTTTTTTAAAATATATTTAAAAATTATTTTTATTCTTATAATTATTTCTCTTCCTAAAATTTTTTCTTACATCATTGTATCCTCATAGGTTTCCTGCCACCTTGCCAGTCCAGAACCATCACCATATTTCCTGGTTTCATCCCTCCTCTGTTTTGAACCCCTCCCTTTGCTATATGCCTAAGTTCTATGGGCAACCTGCTAGTTTTGACTTTTTCTTGTATATTTATGCAATGGAATATTATTTAGCTATCAAAAAAGATACCCATGCTGTCTGAGGTAATATGGATGAAGCCGGGAGGGATTATTATGCTGGTTTAAATTAGTCAGAAGGAAAGAGGTAAATACCCTATGATCTCACTTATATGCGGAATGTAGAGAAACTTCATGAAAGATCAAGAAAAAAACACTCTGCTGTCTTTTTAATGACCCCTTTTCCCCATGCCTTATCAACTTGGAAAGTTTTTTCTTTAACTAAAAAAAGCAAGAAAAGGTGTACATTTTCTAAAAAGGCAGAAGCAACTGCTTTTTAACAACAACTTTTGAACAAAACTGTATAAATTTATGTTTAAGAATTACTCTTTGTGCAAAAGGTGATTTGCCCATTCCCACAAACCTTAACAGAATTGAAAACAATGATCACAATGTTAGATTTAATTAGGGTTTGCCATATAAAATAATATTCAGTGAAGTAGAAGTCTCAGGAAATGATTGACTTTTATCAGCAGAGACAAAGCTTAATTTTTCAACATGCAATATTAAGGTAATATTTCTTTAACACTCACCTTGAATATTTGGGAAAGTGAGTGCTAGTTGCACGTGTGGAATAGTGAATGGCTGAAAGCAACCTTTACTTACTCAGAGAGGATGGGATTATGAAACAGGTTCTTGTTAAGAAATAAAGAGGTTTTAACTTTTTTGGTTGCAAAATGGATGTTTAGTTCACTTCCTGCTCTGTACTTTCTACATGGCATTCAGAATTACACTGAATATGTTTACTTCTTCGTAACAAGGGGTTCAAAAGCAGTCTATGTTGACAACCACTTTCTTTTTAGATCAAACTGCTAATTCATGACCCAAGGCTTCCTTTTCCACTGGGTGCTTTTCTAGTAAAAAGTAACTGGAATCAGAAGAACGGTTGGCTTTTATTTTCTCTCTTTTTCTTTGAACTCCTCCCCACCTAAGTCAAATGTTTGAAGACACTCAAGAAGGAGTGCAGGAAATTGTCTATGATACCTTGAAAATACTTGAGTTAATCAAGTGTAAGAAGGATCTTAGAGACCAGAAAACCTACAACTCGCCTTTGATTTTACACCAGTGCAATGTTTTGAGTTTACATTCATTTTTCAGTTTTGTCTTATTCTTAAAAGATATCATTTATTCACGCACCACCGAGAATGATTTATACACAAAATTTGCAGGCAATCCTCTACTACCTTAAGAAAAGTGGAATTATTTATACCTGCAGTAGGAACTTTTTGAGTAGGTTTTCTTTGTTTGTTTTTTAAAGCAAGTTAAAATCAGAAGTTGCTACACATGAGAATAATCAAACATTTAACTTTCTGTTAATAAATAGTCTGGGTTCAGCTGAAAATTCTGCATCCAGAGAAGGTAGGAAAATGTAGCAGGATGAAAACCTGTCACTTAAGTAAATTTCCCAGTCTTTTATTAATAGATATGCAAATATATGGACAAAATCCTAAAGAGGTTCTTAGAATCAGCCCTTTCTTCATATCTAAAAGTTCTCATAATTGTCTAATTAAAGATCTTTGGAGATTAGTCTGAGTTAAATAGAGGGGAAAATGATACAAAGCCAAGGCTAACTTATTGCACAGCACACTACTTCTACTGAGTGTGATGCTTATTATATTAAGTCAAGTGATCTGACAATACCATTGTTGTCAGCATCTATAATAATGATCTGATTCTTGCCAACTGCATTTACCATCAAGATGAAGGCACCTCAATTTTGCAGTAAGCAAACAAGGTGTACATTGACTAGCCAGTGGAATGATTCCTAAGGGTTGACTTTAATCACAGAAGCAGCCCAGAATCTGAGCAAAACTCTGAAATGAAAGTACTATCTCCTCTCTTCAGAGCACCATCAATTTTTGTGGATAATTGAAGTAAGTAGCTAGAAATCTAATACTGTGGCCACTGGATAGACACACAGCTTGGAAGTAGCTTGCTGTTTCCTGGAAGAGATGAATCTAATGACAAGCTTAAAGAAAACAAACCAAAACAGAACTCTCCGCTAGCAGCAAAGTGGACAGAGAGGCATCCCTGGGTCACAGTTTAGGAAATACTCACAATCATTATGAATGTGCCCAGGAACTCAGAGAGCGTTTCTTTAGCTAAGCTGCTCTTCAAGACCAGTCTCTGCTTGAAGCTTTTCCTCTTGGGTCCTTTCTCAGGCTTCATCTTGGGGTTTCTCCAAAGGCCACACTTTCACCAATACTTGTTTCTTCTGGTCCCGACTTCACCGGCACGTGAAAATGGGAGTTTTGACAACGGCTCAGAGATTCCTGGAGATGTCTGGTGAGATTCTCTGACTGTACAAACAGTGTCCCAATTACAGGCTGTGACTTAATCCTCCTCTGGTAAAATTGTCATTCCTTGTTCTCTGCTGTTTATTTGAATTAGTGAGTTAGAACCTGAAATCCCCAAAACGATCCTTTTTGTGCCTGATAGATTAATCATTACCTTTATTCTCAAGGTATTTTTTTTCTCTGTTGAGTTGTTTTTTTTTTTTTTTTCAAGAGATGAGAAAAGAGATGTTGTGCCGTTTGTGTTGCCAAACCACAGTGATGGGCTCTCGTCCAGAAGAGATTTACATGTTACACAACTACAGGCTTCTGGGTTTTCCTCCCCCCCACCACCACCCGTTCGGAAGTGGTTGGGTATAATTTGGATTGTCAAATCAAATCAGGTATATATGTGTGTGTGTGTGTGTGTGTGTGTGTGTACACGTGTTTGTGTATATATGTGTGTGTGTGTATACACATGTGTGTGTATGTATATATGCAGTTTAAACATTCTTTTCTGAAGTTTTTATACAAATTGGAAAACATGAAGAAAAATAGATGTGTTGTAAGATAAGCCACTTTGTTTTCCTCTAATACTATTTCAGAGATATAATGACACCTCCCTGGTAAGAACTTGTGTGTCCACTCTGGACAAAAAGAAATTAACACACCCAGAGACCATTGCAAGCTTCCATTGTAGGTCCATCGGGCAGGAAGGGGTTGCCTCCATGGGTGCTGAAGTAGATTCCACTTACTGAGGCTGGCCTGGGATGCACAAATTAGAAAGATGGAGAAGGCAACTTACTACATTTCTTCTTCAGGCAGAAGGACACAGTGCAAAAACCAAGTTACTCCCTTTCATTACCAGTAAATATTTAGGCAAAATACAAAGAAGAACAAAAAAAGAAAAAAAAAAAAACAATAGCCACTTATAAATCTATGTTGCTTAGAGATTACTGAGTCAGAAAGATCAGTCTGAACATTTGTCCCCTCATAAGAAAGGGAGTAAGTACACCTAACCAAACTGCCTAGGTTATACCTTTTAAGTTTGAGGAATTAACATCTTTGCAGATAACAAGCCATGTGTAGAACTAGCTTCTTGTTATATCAAATAGTTGAGCCTTATTTTTCAAAACTACCTTGTCTGATGAAATATTGTGGAATCCAGCAACACCTTGTGAATAGCAAGTTACTTCCATGGAATTCGTTACCATGCTATGTGCTTCATCCCAATCCTTCCACAGGGATGCCCTTTCCTGTTTTAAACCCTTCCCTCCCTTGCAGAGGGCTGACAGTCATTTGCAGTCATTTGTTGATGAGGCGCATGGGAAGGGAGAGAGGCCTGGAGAAAACAGCTGCTGAGAATTCCAGGGCAGAAGAAGACAACTACTCTGTAGATGAAATACAGCATTTTGGTGTAAAGAAGTTGTAACTTGCATGCAGACACACACAGCTTTGCAGAGCGAGGACAGGATGCATCATGTTGGCTTTAACTCCTGGTTATCATGGATCCCATTGTCTAGGCAAATTATCTTTGATGATAATATTCCCATGTTCCAGTGGATGGACCAGAGAAACAGGACTTTACTGCTGTGACTCCATCTAATCCACACAAGGGTGCTCTTTGGCCTCTTCATTCACTCATCTAACAAATATTTATGGTATACTCATTATGTGCCAAGCACTGCACTTAGTAAAATCACAAAGGCGTCTCACCCTTCACAGAACTTAGAGTCTAGTGTAAGAGACAGATTTGAAGGAAATAAATTATACATACAAATATAAAATCACAATTGAGATGTATGTACTTATTCCTGAGTGAATCTAAGAGGGGTTTTTCACCTTGTCAGAGTTGAGAAGTACAGGGATTAAGTACATAAATGGGAAAGGAAGAGTATCTACAAAGGTCTTGGGCTGAGTGGGGACACCATGATGCTTATCCAAGAATGAAAGAAATCCACTGTGGCTGGCTCCTGACAAGAGTGAAAGAGCATGGGGCAAAATGATCCTGGAGCCGTGGACAGGTGGCCGCCATACTGTAGAGCCTTGTAAGTCATGCTTAGGGCTAAAAATAATAATAAGATATGAGATGGTTTAAGAGGGAACATGGCACCATCACATCTGCATTTTGAAAAGATCACTCTGGCTGAGAGGTAGCACATTGGAGTGACCTAAAAGTGGGCATAGGCAGACCCACATGGGGGGGGAGGGGAGGGCATATCTGAGTATTCCAGCACTGGGTGGTGGCTTGACAATAGAATGAAATGGATGAATTCAAGAGTTCCTTCTATCTTAAAATGCAAAAGGCTTGCTAAATTAACATAAAAGATAAGGAAAAGGGACTTACCAAGATTGATTACTGAGTTTCTTGGCTTCTTGGGGAAAGAGGTGCTAAGACCCTTCCTCTGAGAAGAAACTCAGGAAGATCAGAACTGTCCTGGAAACACATGAATTCTAAGTGTGCCTGGAGAGCTCTCTTGCTTCTGAGAAAAGATGTCATAGGAAGTGATATGAATCTGGATTCAGAGGGAAGGTCTGTGTGTTCCTTGGAGTGACAATTGAAACCATGAATAAAGATAAGGTTACCTAGGGAGAGAATTTGAAGAGAGCAGAGCCTGAGCTTGTGATACTGAAACATTCATGCTCAGATAATGAAATGTTTATTATCTTTCATTCCACCTTCAGTAACACTTTTCACCTCGATCACCACAAACCACTCATCATCAAACATAGCTCATACTCCCTAGCCAGTCGCCAAGCAAAATATTCAAAAGCATTCAGCCAAGGCAAACAATGAACATCTCTTCTCCAAATAGGAAGAAAGTTCTACAAAGCACGCTCTTGTGTAAATTCCTTTTGGAAATATGGGACATGGGACAGCTTCATTGCTTCCATTCATTTATCCAGGAAAAAAAAAATTGAGTATTTACCACATAAAAGAGCACAAGCATTAAGCAGTGGGGATTCAAAATTGAAGACAGATCTCCACTGCTAAGGAAGCAGGTAGTCTAAGTGAAGAAGACCTCCAAATGAATACATCTTGTTGGTAAAATGGAAATATATGCACAGTACTCTCCTAAACCAAAATTCCAGCTATCACCACATGGAAAACTGAGAGATGACTATCCATTGCCAATGTATTGGCTCATCTTGCACAACTTCTAAAGTTGGGTTCCTTAGATGAAGTGCTATCCTGAGTCTCCAGGGCTAGCCTACCTGGCTCTTTAAGTTCCTCCTGTCCCTATCCCTCCATGCCTTAACATTCTTTATGTCTGTTGTTTCCTCAAAGAGCCATTTTGGCCTCCACTCATGGGATTCAGCAAATCCAGTGTTCTTAAGAGTAACCATCTTTGGCTTCTTTTGTCTTCACTCTAGCTCAGAAGCCCCTTTTACGGCTACTTTTGGGACTGGGTCACCATCTCCTGTTTTCAAGTGTTTTGCACCAAGACACATCTCACTGACTAAAACTTCTAGTTCTCACCCTTCACCCACTATCTGACTTTCACAATTGTACCTCACATCCTCCTCATAAATTCCAGTCCTTCAACTCCTCCCTCTCCACCCATTTCTTACCTTATGATTACCCAAGTTAATCATACATTTAACAACATCTCAGATTTCATCAACCCATTGACTTTCTTCTACCCCACAGTTCCAAAGCCCAATGCTGAATATAGTTAGTCATCTGTCCCTCTCAAATACACTCTTCCCAGCCTGTTGAATAGTGCTGAAGAAAGTCATATAAGCAACTTGTGTTCATAAATTTGTGTTCCAGTCTAGCAGTGAGCCCATATTCTAAGATAACCATTTATTTCAAAGGCTCCAGATTTTAGCATGCTTTAGGATTACCCTATTCAGAGACTGTGATTTGGTAGATCTGAGACCTACCAGGAATTTCATAAGAACTGATAATTTATCACTTGCCTATTTCATTCTATTTTTTTCCTTAAAGGTTTATTTATTTAATCATACAAGAACTGGGATATAGACCAGAGGTGTAGGGAGGGGGTAAGAGGACTCACCAGAGACAGAGTGAGGAGCAAAATAATTGCCTATTTCATTCTATGGGAACCATTTTCCTTGGTTTATCAAACCCCAAATTTCAAATCTACAACTCAGCTGATTGTTTGTCCTCCCAACCCACTGGGCAAACAAGTGAATTCATTGACTAGCGTATCTTTTGTGCCCTTCCTACTCAAAATGTTGCCCTAATTTATGGATGCTGCCCTCTTTTCCTTTTTCTGAAGTTAGTCCTGATACTGGCATTCTGTTCTAGCATCTAGAACCTTGATTGATTAAGCATCCTCTTAACCTCTCAATCTCTTTCTCTCATTGACTTTTTTTTCCAGGACCTAAAACAAGCTCAGGGATTTCCTGTCCTAAGAAACATCCCCTCAAAAATTTTTCACCTCAAATTATATTTTCAGTCAGGCTGCCATATTACAAAATTTCATAGACTGGGCAGCGTCAACAACAAATACTTATTTCTCACAATTCTGGAAGCTGGAAGTCTGAGGTTAAAAGTTACACTTTGGTTGTTTTATGTCAGGGCCCACTTCCTGAATTACTGTATTCTCACATAACTGAGAGTTCTTTATCCCCTTTTAAGGACAGCACTCCCACCTAGCAGATTCCACCCCCATGACTGTATCTAAACCCAATTTCCTCCCACAGGCCCCATCTTCAAATACTATGACATTGGGGTTTAGGACCTAAATATGAATTTTGGGAGAAAACAAGCATTCAGTTCATAAAAACCACTTCCTCTATCTCCTTCACTTTCTTTTCTATTTGGGGAAGAAATAACAACTTCCCTTGGAGCACAAAATTATATTAAGCTGGAGAAATAAAAAGTTCAGAAGTAGCTAGATAAAAATATAAAAGAAAATCACTGTTAACGTGTTGGACAATATTTCTCCAGTATTTCTTTTCAATAGCTCCATATACATTTTTTTTCCTAAGTGGGAACGTACCATAGATGCTAAAGTGCTTTTTTTTTTCCATTAAAAATGCTTTATTCACCTATGCCAATGTGTAACTCATCTTTACAATGACTGGAACATTCCATCATACAAATTTGCCATACTTTAAATAAGCTCCTTATGGTAGAAAATTGGTTCTTTCCAATTTTCTCCCATCAAAACAACACTTCAGTAAACATCCTTATATGCATACTTGTTACACTTTCTTTTGCACAACTGCCTAGAAGTGGAATTACTAGTCAAAGAATATGTATACAAAGTGTTTTTAAAGTACCAGTTTCTTTCA